AATCATGGATCCGGTACGTAGACGACAAGTTCGTTATTATCAAATGGAACTTCATACAAAATACGCATGAGCTAATGAACAACACTTTCAAGCGCATTAACATTACTACTGAGCTGGAGAAGGACAACCAATTACCATTCTTAGATGTACTGGTCCACAGAAACAATGACGGAAACCTTCGCAAATGTGTATATAGAAAGAAGACCCACACAGATCAACTATTAAGATACCAAGCGACCATCCACTGAACCACAAGACAAACTGCATCCAAAGATTTTTCAGAATGGTCGAACCACACCGCAGCACGACAGAATTAAGGAAGAAGGAACAGAACCATTACCGCGTATTGCAAAAAAACGAGTATCCAAGAAATTGCATCAATAGAAGTGTAAATAAAAGTGCGCTTCATCAACATCGAGAACACGTAGATAAACAGGTGGCTCTTCCTTACATTAAGAACTTGTAAGAACTAACAGCCAGATTACTAGGACCACATGGAAATTTGGTAACCCACAAACCAAGTGGTACTATGAGAAATTTGCTCTCAAGGCGGAAAGACAAGGTTGAGCAAGGTAGTCAGAATGGTGTCATCTACAAGATATGCCGCAAGCAGTGTGCCAAACACTACATCGGATATACTGGAAGGAGACTTTCACCATGGATCAAGGAACACATGACGGTCATACTGAGACACGACCCGCATTTACTGGTTTGCTTACATGAAGTCCAAGAAGGCCACTACTTCGACCTAGCGAATGTAAAGATCCTAGCTCGTGGCGAATCGAGGCAAGCTAGAGAATTCTCGGAAGCATGATATGCTACTGACAATTCAATCAACTGACTCTTGGAAATAGATGCCATATATGCAGCTCTACGGATGAAAGATCACCGACTTAGTCAACTACATCTAACGGAAGATAACGCCGGACAAATCGGTCAAACGATGACGTCAACCGCTGAAGCACGCGTGCTTACGCTGCGAGACACAAATCCAAGAGATCAACTTTGAGAGTCGTATGCCCGTCGAACAATCCAAACTCAGACAGCCGGCTCATCCACCTAGAAGATTAATCACTCATACTCACTGACGTATCGTACCGCGCTGCTCCGCTATATACACGCTCACTGACGAGGTCACATCGAGTGGTGACGGAACGTTTTCAAGCAAACTGCCGAGATCGGGGAACAACCATGGCACCATATGGTCAACCTTACCTTCCAATATTCACTTCTTTAATCGCAGTTTACTTCTTTCTGCTTACTTTCTCCCGACTGGACGGTCTACAATGTGTTCATGGTAACATTTTTACTACGGCAATTTCTCCCCTTACTTCATTTTGCTGCGGCGAGCTGTGAGCTAGTTTCGGCTTATGCAAAACTTGCGTGTTTTTGCAGATGAGACAATAATGCGTACTCTTGGCTTCTCCCTTTTCAAACGCTTACTCAAAAGAGCGTACAACGCGGCGGAACTGCGGATGCCCACATCGACTACACCTATGCTTATGTGTTCGAGTAAGGCACCACCGACGAGGCAATGCACGTTCCGCTGTCTATATAAATTAATATGTAGCTGCGAGATAGCTACGTTGGGCGCACTACCCCAAGTTTAGGTGTCAGAGTCAATGAACACATCTTCAAGGGGTTACGCAGCCGAATGATGTCTGTAACGACGGAATCGGTTGAATCGGTATCCCGAGCTGCGTCGGAAAACACAAAGCACTTGCTTACCACCGGCCACCGAGTCCATCCTGATGAGACATTCACTGTCCTACTGCGCGATCGGCGGCCTTACATGCTTAAGCTATTGGAGGCCATCATTATCGATTGTAGCGCAAACACGGAGCTACATATGGTCCGTTTGAGATTGTTAGTTGTTCATTTACATATCGTTGTTGCATGTCTTCCGTGATTGATAAGCATGCGCGAAATGGCGACGTCATCTCACAAGCTACGTCTTCTGCTTTTCCCGTTTGGAATTCTAAAGGAAACAGCTTGTTTTAAATCTCTTCGTTTTCAGTTACCTCCTTTCCTTCACTTCGACTTTACCCCATCTGACTTTTCCACTCAGGTTGTCATTAGCCGATCCAAAGTGTCACGGAACGCAGCGTATGGTTGATGGGCGCACGTGCATAAAACTGATATTGAGCGTCATCACCTAATCTGCCTCCAAGCCGCATAGCACTTCAAATCATTCTCTGAAGTTCTATTGCATCAGAATGCTAACCGCATTTCTCACTTCCATACTCGACTCCAGATTATGTCGCACAACACTCCTTTTGGTAATCTAAGTATTTTTCTGCTTTAGTGTAACCTCGGATGCACTTTAACTGCTTTATATTCTATTAGCAATTTTCTCTCTGTCACTGGAACAAAGATTTTATACGGGTAAAAAAGCTAATGCTTAAATATCAAAATATAAAAAATGTTAGAAAAATTGGTTTTGCTACAAGTGGTCTCATTGAAGTATACATGATATAACGTGTGCGTCCAAAGTAAATCCATAAGGGATAACGGCAAACAGAATGAGCAATATATATATATATATATATATATATATATATATATATATTGCAACAGTCTATGAATAGACATTGCATCATCGGAAACCATGGAACACCAAAGAAGGTACAGCAATAGTAGAAGAAAACACAACAGATCAAAGTCCATGGTTTCGTCAGAGGTCGAGATACTGCCTGATTGCCCAACCCGAAGTACGGTGTTGACTTAGGGGACACCACCCCGAGCCTTTGGCTGAATAGCCTGCCCGCAAGGCAGCGGAGCAAATTCAGAGAATCGCACCCATTTGGAGCCAGTGGTTGATTGCTCAGTTCATACGCCTTTGGTTTGTTCCTTTGTCAAACAGGGGCCCAATGCTCCCCAAAAATTACAACATACAGTTGCTGGAATACAATGCTTCGCCAGGATGAAGTAAGAGGCAGTGACTTTATTTAGTGGTGAGTCACGTCCGCCCCGTCACAGTGTTGTTAAACGGACATATGTGGCTTTTTATAAAAAGAACGCTTGCAAGGCGAAAACCCACTACCTCCTGGAACACTGCCGCCGAACCATTTGCTTGAACGGCAAAAGCCCGAACCATCCAGCTGGCACCACGAGTAGGTTGTTCGGCAAGCCACCCTAAATAGAACGATGATAAATATCCTGTCATCTCACGCTGTGAACATACAGGAGGTGTGGAAGTGGAACAAAATCTGGGATTTGGCCCCCAGTGAAATCACTTACAAACACTTGTGTTTATCCATGAGTAATGGGTCATGTAAGATGGTGCAGCGAAATAAGTGCATGGTCAACTCGGGCTCTGAATTCTGTCATCCTCATGCGATGCATTCCACGGAAAGTCCTCAGAAAACCAGAGCCATCATCCTGGTCTGAAGTTACCAACGTATCAGTGAAAATTGCCAGTCTCCTCAGCTAATTATAATATACAAGTAAAACATGAACATTTTGATAGTAATAAAAATACAAATTTTCGTAAAAGTGCTCTGTTCAACTTGGGCATGTTCACTTAAAAATTCGAGAAATATACATATTATTACTAACGATATTTGGTACCACTTTAAAGAATATGGATTTTCCTTTGTAAGGAGGTTCTCTCGCTACGTTAAACGATGTGGTTCGGTTAATTCATACACACGACAGGCTAGTGATTCCAAATTGTGCAAAGTATTCGAATCTACCACACAGTGATAAAGCTTCGAACCGCTAACGTATTAATCAGTCACCATTAGGTCAGTGCGCCTTCTTGACTGGGGAACCATGATGGAAGAAGACCGATAACTTCAACTCATCAACCCGTTGCCCCTTACCTTGTACTCTATCTGCGAAGATAGGTGTTATGTTGAATATTGGATGCGGGAGCAGGAGAGAACTTGGGGGTGGGTTGGGGAAAATGGCATTAGTAAGTCGGTCCCGATCGATGGACACAGTTACAATAATTGATGCGCGCGCTTTCCAGCAGAGATTTTGAGTTCGTGATGTTTTCTTTCCCACCGCCTACGGGTTCCCCACTGATCTCTCCATCATCCATACATCTTTCAGTAGGCTACTGACACACATGATGCCATCAAAGACCATGGAACTCAAAAGGAGATAAGGTTACTATTAAAAGAAGACTAAGCACAACAAGAAGGGATCCCTAGATTTCAGAGAGTACGATAATACCAGGTCACCCGAGCCGAAGTAGGGAGTGGACTTAGGCGACCCCACAGTTTGCTAAATGACCAACCCACATGGCAGTGGAACTAAGTCAGGGAATCGGGAACATTGGGAGCTGATGACTGCGTACTCAGTTCGTACGCTTTTTGTTTGCTCGGTCACCAGACAAGTGCCAAATCCTCCTCACCATACCATCCCAAACACTGGTAATGAATAAGCTCATGCAGTCTTTGTCCCATTTTCGCATGTATGCATATGCAATAGTTAGATACCCATAGGCTATTCGAAGCGCGGAAGCAAGGCAAACTGTGAACGTGCTCATTTCAGATGCGTTTCACATACATGTGCCCCATTGTCTATACCGAAGGTGCAAGATGGCAACTAACAAAAAGTCCCTACTAAGTACAGTGCATCATTCAGCTAGTATATGTGATGGATTTTAGTCTTGTATCATACTTCAGGTCAGTGCGCACAACATCCATGTAAGTGAAGAATTTTGGCGTCCCCGAATCCGAAAGTTTCGAATGTTGGTTGTGGACATTAGAACTAACCCGGATTGGTACTTACTGTTTTTAGGATAGAGATTTTGGAGCAGACCATGTTGGTGGCCAAAAACATCTTTGTGATGATACCGTTTAGGAGATGGTGGTGGTGTTCGGGTACTCACTTCTAGTTGCTAAATTTAATGATCCTATTCGAAATGCGAGATGCTTTCTTTCACATCATTTGTCCAGATTATCACTGTTGTTTGTTTCATGTTCTCCTTAGCACCATATCTGTGCATTTCTGATTAGCGCCACCATGGTAAGGCGAGTACAGGGGCGCGTAGAGGCAAACAACAGATCCCCATTGTATTTCGGATCACAGTTTTCAACTGAAGTGAAATAGAAGTTGTCACATATGACAATGTACACAAAATCATCAGGCACAACAACTGGTGCCCTGAAGAACTGACCAGTCTTGAAGAAATGAAATTACATCTTGCCTCCAGCTATCTCACAACATTTCGAACAACATCAACTACTTTGTGAGAGCTGAATATTCACCCTTCATGGGTGCATAAAGCAAATCCTTGGCTGATTGACTGACTGACTGGCTGTCTTTTGGCGAGCCCTAGATCCGTAGCGCTATACCCCACTCCGATGTTGTTCAAAAATCATATCCACCGTTGAAAGCATAGTCAAAGTGATTCACACGCAGTTTTCTTCTCGGTTCAAACGGAATGGTCCAACTGGGCTCGGAGCATGGGTCCCCATTGGGAGTTTCTTGAGGCAGCGGGATCCCTTCGCCTTTGATTCGCACAAAATCGTATCCGAGCTCCACAATCATATGCGTCCAGGCCAGCTTGTCTTGCTTGGTCAACTCCAATGCTGGCGGTACACTATAGTAAACAATCCCATGATCGTAATGGTACGGTTTCTGAGGATTCGGTGGCTGTGCAGCTTCTCCCAATGGCCTTCCGCTGAGCACCAGACGGACGCAGTTAAAATTCATGATGAGATAAAGCAGTTCCTTCCAATTCACTGGCAATGCAGATCGATCGGAAACCAAAAGGGGATGCAGCGGGATGTGACCTGTGTGGTGGAGCACAACAGGGAAAGTTGCAAAAATAGCATGGAATCTGAAATGTGTGCACAAACAATGTGCAATCCTCCTTTACAAAACAATGTGAAGATGGCCACCTGGAGAAGTACTGTGTGATACATGGACAGGGGTTGTAGGTGGAATGTAGAACTGGCAGATTATGGAAGCGTGGGTGAAACATCTCGTAGCCTAGAGGTAAAGAGGTTGTCTCGTAATCTTACGGTGAGGGTTCGAATCCGCGTAGGGGTGGGTGTCCTCGGGGTATACGCAGTCTGCGTGCGACTGATGGTGGTCATACGGCAGCGAACCGCCGTTACGGCGCACAGCTGACACATTATTCGTTATTAGTAAGACTTCTCGAGGGACCACCCCGTATGGAAGCGGGTTCCAAGAAGATGGTTCCATGGATGTTGATATTACTCTGCTCGGTCTTTCTCCCTATACTTCCCTCTTTGTTTTGATTACGTTGTGACCATTGTTCCTTCATATTCTCTTGCGGATATCACTCATTATGTGCCAACCTCATCATGACGCAACGGACAAGTCTTGTGGAATTGAGAACACATTATTTTTACTACTCCCACGGTCGACACATAAACCTTACGGTAACTTTGATCTATGTCCTGCATCTCCAGCACAGTTTGCTAAATTCGCAAATGAATCACTATCGAAAAATTCATTGACATGCACCTTTTTAGTGTTGTTCCTGACCTACATGAAAACTAATGCATACTATTGACGATGGTCTTTACTCCACAGACTGTGCTTGTGATTTCATCCGATTTGTCTTTCTTTTCGAAGGGTGTGTTGAAAATTGATCTTTGTATGTACATCATCCTAATCACCTTGTATTTGGTTAAATGGTTCAACAGTCTTCAATAGTGTGTGGAGAAATAAACAGCAGTTTTACAAAAACCAACAGGATGGCGAATTCAACTAAAATCATAATCAAAGTGTTCCGGCGAGGAATGTGAAATACCAGTAGCTAAACATTGCACTTTATCATACTGAGTGTAGCGTTTAGCCCTTAGATGAAAGTCTAATTGTCTTTCAAATGTCGCGATGTCTGATGCGTTCACCACATGTATTGGTAGTGCACTTCAGTGGGAACAGATTCTTAGAGAGTAAAAATACTTTCAACAATCCAAACGGGAGTGTTGTGTTACTACGTAGTTTCAATTAGTGGCCTCGCAACTGTTCGTTAGAAAATAGGGTCAGTAGTGTATTACATGGGTGCTCGATTTCAATTGGTATGTTAGATGAGATCTCCGTGACGCCTTCGGTATCTTGAGAACACACGAAGTAAACGAATGCGCACTTCGTAACTGAAACCGGATGACCCACGTACTGCCTTGGTTGCCTTTCTTTGGGGCTGCACCAAAAGAACACTGTCTCGTTTTAACCATAGATACCAGGCCTGAACGGCATATTCAGCGTGGAGAAGAATATACGAGTTAATCAGCAGTGGTACTAGCCGTCGCTCAAACGTGCTGAGAGCACGCCTTAAAAACCTTAAGTTCAAGTTAGCCACACCTGCTGGTTTCGAATATTTAAGCGAATGACCAAGACTTTCGTACATGAGGATACCTAAGCCACTTTCATTATTAACGTGTCACAGGACGCGTTGCCTCCCAACATGTGTTGTGATGAGGATTCACGGTCAGGAGATGGCACTTTGCAGAATTCAGTGGGAGATAGTTCATTTCTGCCCATTCCTTAACCCGTCCATGTTATTCTGGTGATAGACATGGTTGGATGTTAGGAGAATTGCTCTCCATATCTCAGAGTCACCCGCAAACATTTACATTTGGGATAAAACGTTTGCTGGGACGTTATTGATTTAGACAAAAGCAGTCGCGGGCCGAAGACAGATCCTTGCGGTACACCAATGGAGACGCACAGGCTTTCAAAGTGAGTATCGGCTATTGTTACATTGATTGTTCTTCCTTGTAGGTAATCTTCAAACCAGGTGAGCAGGAAACCATTGATACCGTAGGCAGCAAGCTTTTGGAGGATGACGAGGTGATTGATCCTGTTGAATGCCTTAGAAAAGTCTAGATCATATCCACAGGGACTCCTTCATAAGCCGCCATGGTCCATGAATCCCCAGCAAGAAGCAGATTGCTGAGGCAAGACTGTCTGCGTCTGAAACCATGAGGGCGATTGGAAATTATTTGCAGACTTTCAAACTATCGCGTCAGTACATCTGCCATTATCTCCTCCAACATTGTATAAAAATTAGGAAGAAGGGTACTAACTCGGTAGTCGGCAGCATCGGGTCGCTTTCCGCCTTTGTATATCGGAGTGATGATTCCATACTTTCATTCAGATTGGAGGGAGTCAAACAGATCCTAGAAAAAATGCTACAAGATGTACTGCTATGGTAGCGGTAAGAGTTTTAAGTACCTTTTGGCAGAGCTTGTTGATCCCCGAGGCACTGTTTTCCTGAACAGGCTAAAGGTGACACTGGATAAGCCGATGACATTGATTGGGAATTGATAGAGCAAAGGTCCCATGGTATTTGTAGTCACTGAGCCAAACTACAAGAGTAGTGCGTTCGCGCTATGCACAGCAGTAGTCGTTAAGCCATTGGCCGTCTTGAGTGGTGGTATTCCAGGTTTAACCTTCCTTTTAGCGTTCACATACCTGTTTAGAAAAGTTTGTTGTTACTATCAAACTTGATAACCGTGTTCTGTTATTCGTACTTGTCTGTCCTAATAACTGACGTGCAGTAGTCTCTGATTGTTTTGTAATTCTGCCATGAGGTATCACATGGACTGTGCGTATGTTGCTTCCAAATCTCATCCCCACTGTTGATCCATTTACGTGTTCTGCTTCGGATCCAACTATTGGTCCGGCGTGATACTCGTAATAGTACAACTTTTGGGGATGATCGTTTGACCCAGTAACTTTATCTTTCAATTCATTCCATGCGTCGTTCACGGAACTGTGAGTCTGTACGCCCCAATCAACTGTTGTCGCTAGGTTGTGAAGCTTGGAATCTCGTGTGTGACTGACTCAACCATCAACTCTTCATTTGTCAGGATTAGGTGAGAGTGCCTCTCACCGAGGCTCCTCTACGCTACTGCACGTCACTCAACTACGCACTGATGATGTCACCTAGATTAGTGACGAAACGTTTGCAACAAAATTGCCAAGCTCAGCGAACAGCTCTACCGCCAACGAATGCTCGAATGTAACTCTAACCCACCCGTGGTAGTCGGGTGACTTCATTCATTTGTTCACTAAGCAAACACGCCGATGGATGCCGCTACTATATCTGGTCGGTTGAATTCCTAACATTTTCTTGTGGTGTCATCCAAAAAGGCATAAGGACACTGACCTCATTAACTAGATGTCGTAAACATGTACAGTCTCATAGACGGTGACTGTCAAGCGCTGGCACATCAGTGTTTCGAAGGTAATCTAATTTGGCCTGTTGATGCACAATATATGGCGCTACGGCACTCGGCAGGTTCAACTAAGTTTAGGAAACTGGCTTCTAGGTTGAAGCAAACCAACTGTGCGATTTTGAACGTGCTGATTCGGAAGCGTTCTTGATACCTTTAAGCGATAGTCAGTTCCCTGATTAATCAACTCGTATATGAAAACCCACGTTAACTGTGCGACTCAAGTTTGGTGTCCATGGTTGAAACAGGATCTTCGTCTTTTAGAGCAGCCCGAAAAAGAGCAACCAAAGCAACAGAAGGATCACCTTATATAAATTACGGGGTGCGCTTTCGTTTAGAATACCGATGACGTTATGTGATTCTTATTCTCCCGTACCAGATACAGACAGAGAATAACCCCATATGTTATTGATTGCTGGCCCTAGCTTTTTACTACCCATGCCGAGGCCACCACCTGAAATTAATAGACTAACACTCCCGTTGGGATGGTAGAAAGTCTTTTTTACTCTCTTATACTATGTTCACACTGAAATGCGTTACAAGTACACGTGGTGAATGCGTCAAACATCCTGACTTTTAAAAACGATATGACATTCATCAACGTGGTAATTGCTACACAACCATATATCAAAATGTCACATCTAGGCTACTGAACATTCATGCCTAACACCGAAACAATTTGATAATTTTGTGTTTGCAAGTCTGCGGGTCTTGTAAAGCTACTGCTTTTCACTTCATTTTACACTGTTGAACCATTGAACGGTAATTTAGCTCGGATGAACTTTCGTCCAGTAATCCCCTGGTATCGCATTAGAGGTGGGCGTTTCTCTGCTGCGTCTTGCTTCACCTTTTCTAGAGAAGAGCGTAGCTGTTAAGGCGAGACTAAATGCACCCGGGTAACTGGTGCTTTGTGCTTCCGACCAGGAGAGGCTTTTGGATCTCGTGACTCAAATGTAAGGGAAATGTAATAGCAATATTTGCTGCAATGCAACCGAACACAATTTAAACGGTTTGTGTTTTAACCAAGCTTTCCAGCGTAGCTCTGACCGACACACTGCATTATTATTACAACTAATGGTACTGAAGCCAAGCCGCCATACGTAAAGATTGATTGCGAATGTATACATTTTGTTCTCACTATACTCGTTCGCAATGCTCATGAGTCTAAATGAAATTATCATTATTTTGGTGATTAGATGGTAACGCGTCGGTCAATTTATGACAAGTTAATCACATACTAAGCTTCATACGAAGGGAAATATCTGGGTAGAACTTAATCTGTATGTAATGTCAACTCACATGCCACGACGACGTTGTCCGTCTTACGGACCGCTTCTTGAAGCTGCAGATTAAGCCACTGCAATTGGTGTTCCGAGATAGCACAACGTAATCGTGGTAGCAGCTTAAAGTCCTCTCTGTCGAGGCACCCGTTTTCTTGTCTGAGTTCCGTGGCCCAACCGACTAGATTATCTTCACCACACTTCACTCTGCATTGAAAACACTAGGTATGGGAAGCAGGATTACAGCATGATGGGTATGAAAGCCTTGCGTTGAGGAAGTAATCTGGCAATAGAGATACCGATGTTTGGTATGTTGCGGCAAGGTTCAATCTCCACGCATGTTTAGGCTTTGTGCACTTACCTGGTCAGGAATTACCGTATACATCCAATCTCTCACTAACTATACAACCAGCAGGACATTTTACCCGGCCATGCCAACCTGACAATTCGCATTCTCAAGTGCATTGCAAAAGGAGTAGTTAACCAAAATGATATGCTTCTCCCATGCCAACAGTAGCTTTTCCGTTGCACAGCCACAAAAGCTGTAAAACGCCACCTGTAACAGAAGGTACGTCACTGTACCCACATAGGCACTGTTACTCCGTAACATACAACACAACATGTATTACTCAATCTGGTTAATTTCACATCAAGGTTTAGGAATGTTTAGGCACCTCAACTTGCATTAACATCATTTTACACATACTCTATCCCAATACTCGGTTGACGTAGCTGAAGCCTTGAAAACTCACATGCAGCCAGATCGATGTATTAACACAAGCTTCTGCTTTTTTCTCATCTAAGTACAATTGCACCAAGTATAGGATTTCTGCTCATCATAAACAAGTTGCCCCGTACTATTATGGTCCTAACGGTGCGCTACTAATGAGTAGTATGTGTAACACAAGCATTCACAAGAAACTCAGAATAATCATGGATCGCTGCGTATAAAGGTTGCGTGATGTTTTAACAAGCCTCCACTCATACTTTATGCTTGGAAGTGCACTGCGGAACGGCGAGTCATAACGGTACCACGAAAGAAATGAACAATCTAACCTGAGGTTGTCTGCTTCGCGATACGCTCCCAATGCTAGTACGCACGGTTATGTACTACACATTTGATTATGGTTGGTAGTTCCAATTATTCCATCCCCTTTCACATTACTTCCACTTTCAATAACCTGCCGTCATCATGGTAACCCGGTCTGCACCGGAGCCAAAAAAAGTTACAATGACCGGGAACCGGTAGGAAACGACAGTATAAGTGCCAACGGAAGATTTTCATAAACTGTCCCTATTCCGCCTCAGCATAAACCCCAACCATTGACAGACCTGCATGGGTGAGCAAGATGCAAGTGTATATGCGACTCACTCCTTTGTGGGCACGGTTTTTCGGTACCTGAGGAATATACATTAGTACATTATCTATCAGACGCAAGATGTAGTGTAAACTATCAGCAGCTACAGAAGTAAACGAACAAGGGAACAAAAGCTTGCCTATCATCTCGGACACTTCGAAGTACACAGTGCGGTACTACATGAATCTGCCACTGGGTTTAATTTATAACACGGTTTTGATTGAGCTCATGATATAGTGGAAGTAAAGAGGTTTAATGGCAAAAGTGTTGTTTCAAGCGGTTAGGACAGGGCATTCACGAAGTTGGCACTTGTTGCGGGAACGTAAATTGATTCTGCAAAGACATCCGCGTGGCATGGTCTCCAACACTGGTCTACGCAAACATAGGGCTACACCGCGTGGCACTCGCAGTGACCACGCGACTTCTGAATCGTGACGCAGCGGGACTTCGTGAACAAATTCGTTTCGCCAAAACTTATGCCCGGCGTAGTGCGTAATTAGTACTATAACTAGGATGGTGTCTATGGTCTTTCTGGTGCTTCAGTAAGAGCCCTCGTGCCGAATGTCCGTCTTTTTTCTTCGTTCTCTCCTTCTGTTCCGGACACGGTAACGAGAGTCACGTCAAACCCATTTTCTTGCGTCACCCGATTGGCAGGGTTTCCGTCCTCGTCTACATTGCGGCTAAGTTTCGCACACAGGTTATCGCATAAACGATCTGAGTTGCATAATCCTCTAACAGACGCGTGAGAACGAACCAGACGAAGGTGAAATTTGGATGCGTCCAAGCAAAAGGGTTCTATACTTATACTTTCCTGTCATGTTATGCAAGATGCGATGTTCATAAATGAACTCGGTGTTACTGATTTTCGTATTACCTACCCTTCAAATAGAGTGGCTATGTGGAAGATTGCTAGTTATTTCATGCTTATCTGTGAGTAAGACCATGCGAGTCCAGTGGGTATCATGTGTGGTGAGGAAAAAACATATTCGACTCACCTTTTGACTGGTCGAATCTTGGTTGGGGGCAGATATAGTGATCCCACCTGGAGCGTAGCGTGTATTTTCCTTCAGGTCAACAGACAGAATCTCGTAACCGTCCAACACAATTAATGTGTATTCTGGACCAATCCGTTGCTGTGAATGCAGAGGTCATAGAAATTTGCTAAAGGCTTCACAGAACAATACCAGACATTATTTAAGTGTGAAACCGATTCGAACAAGCAAAGGCATCGCATGTATCGATATCGAAAGGTACTGTCTGAAACGCACGAAACTAAGTTAAAAGCAGGTAGATGCATACAACTCATATTGCCTCCCCAGTGCCATTAACACCAACTGATATACATAGACATAGATAGCAGTGGGTGTACCAGACAACCTTGAGATGCGAAACGAATGACGGAAGTTTACTCCTACGTCCAGGGCAGCTTCAGGCTGACATAATTGTTTCTGAACGCCCAGGACTGGTTTCATTCGACTTGCAGCGACATCCACAGCAAACCGAAGGAAGCATGGAATGTGTGAAGTAACATAACTTAGAACGCTGAGCCTAGCTCTATCCGATGACCCGCAAGCAAGGGGTGTTTGCCCATCGATGGAGCAGGCGGCCTACGCGAACACGGAATTTGAGGGCGGTAAGGAATCTGGGTTGTTGTTGTCTTGCAACCAGTATAATCCAGATAGCGGTTTATCAACAGTTAGGCAACTTGTAAACATTCCCATCAAGCGCAGGCACACCGGGAATATCAAGCCACCGATATATGATTTAAAGGAAAATAAACACGCAAAATTGACGCGGAATATATAACAGAATGAAAACGCTGAGCTAATCAAATAAAGTAGCATAATTTTATCTAGGCTAAGAGGATCTAGTTGAAGTGTAGGTCGGTGTATCAAAGCTACAGTGAAGAAGCATGTTGTATGCAACATCAACCGTAGATACTATATAGTACTTTGGGCAGCTGATATCGGTGAGTACTTTGAAGCTAACTTTTACGAAGGAACTAACATGGGTGAATGTAATACCCTGAACTAAGGAAAGTTCTGAAATGTCACTAAAACTAGATACTTTGTTCATTAACATGCCAAACAGCTTGAAATGCACACCGGATATGCCCGGAAAACTACTGGAGAGCAGTAAATTCAATGGTAGAATACATTCAATGATGAAAGGCAGTGTCAAATAGAATACATGAAGGATTATGCCAGGTGCGATCAAATAACGACAGTTTTTCGACTTTGGCGAATATTTTATTCAATTGTAGAGACCACGACACGGCATGGTATAATGTGGCTCACTGACAGTTTACACGCGTGGAGAAGCCCAAGCTATTACCATAAATACATAGTTGGGATCGTAGTTAATAGGGTCCTGGTAACAAGTTGTTATCTGCAATAAAATGCAGTGATGTAATAGTTTCTTTTCTCCGTGGCGATAAGCAGAATTCCCTCATAGATTTCTCCCCAACCCTTATGTGAATAAAATTCCTATATCCAGCTCTTCCGCCATCAAGTGTCTCGGAGTCCTTTTGTCCCAGAACGTTTCGTGGTCCACGCATGTCTGTAGAACTTTTCAAAAAGTCATCAAACTTTCTTTTTGTGCTCTCAGACTTAAGGCACTTTCCGTACCGCGTACTTTAATATTCAGGTTTGTGGCCTGCATTATTTCCCATTGGTTATACTGCTCTCCCGTCATTTTCCCTAAACTTCTTCAGAAAGACTACATCTTATTGGTGCGATGTTTAATGATTTTTTAGATGCACGGCTTGTCTAGAGATTCTTTAGTTAATTTGATAATTTCTGGACATCTTGATGCCTGCAATGATTTTTGTTCTAAGGTACTAACCGATCGATGACATCCACTTTATAATGAACTTTCCAAAACGCTCTCTTTCTCTTCTACTAGTTAGAGATTCAGAATTTTATTCTCCCGCACGTCCTTGTATCCTAATACTGTTTTGCCCTATCTCTCACGTTCGCTTGTTGACCCAGCGAAAATCATACACATGTTGCGTGAGAGGTTGTTGAAATAACAGATGTGCATTTTCCCCAGTTTCTCCGCAAACATGTATACTGATTGATTTTACAATCCGTGTGTCCGCAGTGGTGGTGTAACTGCTGCACATGAACCCGTTAGGGTACATAAAGCTTATTTTGACATGACAGGACTTGACTTGAGCACGTCACTGCACTTAGGTGCATTTAGCGTCAGGCAGCGGGTTTGACGGTTGCACGATTGCGACAAACAACATTGTGGCATGTTCAAAGGGGCCGAAGTTGAATGGTTCGCATCGATAAGTACGTCCTCGGCGTATTTTACCCAGCCGGACTCATCGAGGGCAGGCGTACAGACAGTGTAGGTAGAGAATCAGAATGGTGACAGAATAGTTTTTGTAGAGCACGGGTAGTTTTGCCAATATACCAGGTGACCTGAGTACGTTTGTCAAAATAATGCCTTAGTAAAGTATCGTAGAAGGTTGGTTATCAAAGTGCAGCAGATCTTGCAACAATATTTCATGTTCAACACAGATAAATGCGTTGCTTTAGTCAAGAAAGCAGATAAGTGTAAGTCTATTCCTACTGCCTAGCGATGATACACTATGCGTAACATACACACGATTGCGTTCTGTGTGGATCATAACCTCGATGTGCAAACCTACGTGGGTGATTTGGTTAGAATTGGGCAGGAGATCTTTCAAGGTTAATTTCTCTAGGACGTTCAAAGACACTGAACTGCACACAGTAGACCGTTACACGCGTGCCTCTTTCTTCGGTACCTGCGTTATGCTCAGAGTTCACTAATAGTCTGCGACGTTGTTTTGTGTACAACAAAGCTAGGAGCTAAGCTTAGAAATTTCCAGACCTCCTGTCAGGTCTGAGTGAATTCGCTGAGGGTATCAAGAGTGGATATGAACATATTGTATATGTACGATAATACTGAGTGGTAGAGGACGAGTGAATATTAACTGAGGTTTGTGGATTTTATATTGTGAAGGTACCACTAAAGTGTATATTTCTAAGACCATTGGAATTACTAAGAGTCTGAGGAGGTTTTACACCGCCCTCAATTCTTTCTTCTATTGGATTAGTTGAGAACCGCGATTCATGGATTTTGTTTCCAGTCGTGTGTAAAGTCACTCTTAAAGCGTTGTACTGGGTACCGAAGGGTACATTCTTTTAAATTCGAACGGGATTAACGATACTTGTGACGTTACAATCCATTCAATTAACACTGTGCATTGCCGCAGGCAGATGTTTCTGTGCCGGGAATGGCAATGATACTCCTAATATATCGAAGCAAAAGGTTCTACAAACACTTAAGGTAGTACGCAAGGCTTTCTAACGGGCCCGTCTAAACGTGAGCTGATAAAGTTCTCTTTTGCCAAAAAATACAACTGTTATCTTGATATTTCCGCAAAGTTCTAAACACTTGGCAATGAAGGAAAGTTTATCTGGAATCGGTGCAACTGACCCAAAACAGAGGAGAGTCAAGAAAACATTTTGTACCAACTGTAGATCCTAGTACTGTGTTCAATACCAGTTCACCTATCATTAGTTACTGGGGGGTGTGGGATAAATACACTAAACTACTTTTCGTAAATTTATTGTTGCGTGGAGAAAGTAAAGGATCATTGCATGACAAGAATGGACGCCAAGTATTGCGTCAGTAATAGAAATTGTGTTTAAGCTTAAAGATGTCAACTTTAGCGAAATCTACAAAAACGAAATGTTGGATGATATCCTCTGGATGCAGAGCCACAACCAGTCTAGTAGCATTGAGCATTAAAACGGTACGTACCAGGGTGCTTTTCGGGTGTTTTACTTTTAGACTCATCAAGAAGTCGGAGCACCCCTATCAACTCCGGGATCGACGACGCGCTCAAGAAGGAACACTTACGGGATTCATCTTATCGTTCCAGTCCCACTTGAACTTGAGACGAGGCCTGCAAGTCGTTATGGCGTGCATTTCAACTATCGGTAATAACCGTCAATCAATATAGCGCTTTACTCTTAGTTGACGTAATCAAATATTCGTAGAAAGTAGAAGTCACGATTAAACTGCACACAATAATCTGCCTCGACGGGGAATCGAACCCCGGTCCCACGAACTACCGCTGAGCTATCAAGGGCTGACGATCAGGTGCGCAATTTAATACAGGACTTCTGCTTGGTGCGCGATAAGGATTTCATCCCAATAGTTCACAAGTTACATAGCAGAGCCTAGTCCGGAAAAGCAGCAGACGCGTTTCGCTCTATTGGGGTTCGTTAGTGGCGCGCATTCCCTCGGTCCACTAAGGTGGGTCGAACCCATGACCGCTAGAGGCAGATGCCAACTAGCCAGCAGCTTAAGCCACTGAGCCATGGCGGACGTTGGCTGGGCTACATAATTTGCAAACTAACTCGGATATCACACCACCTCTCTGCCACTGTCACTGACAGTCGTTAGCCTGCGAGGTGATGACGTCCTCACACTAGACGCTATATGCATAGCACTTGAAACTAGTATAGGGACCGGGGTTCGATTCCCTGTCGAGGCCGATTATTGTGTGCAGTTTACTCGTGACTTCTACTATCTACGAACATGACACTACGCACAAAAGTCCACAAGTAATCAAATATGTTGCAACCATGTTGCAATATGTTGCAACTATGAAGCATATGATCCAGACTGGATAATTTTGTTCTTCCCTGCACTGCGCTTATTTATTTGCGCACTTGCAACAAATGACGGGAGAATGGACTAAGCTGGATTCGTTTTGTAACTTCGAGGGAATCATGAATGGTACGTTCAGGGACATCACAGTCATTACAATGCTACGCAGTGTAATCGTGAGTTCAAGATGCTAAATTGTTGTTATAAGCTATGAAACAATGAACACAGTACCATAATGTATGACACTTGGTGATAGGATGTGATGACGGTTTGTGACACTAACTAAATGTTAAAATATCCTTAAGACAACAGTTTCCGGCATTTAGGTTTGAGATTATGGAGTAACCGTTGGTATGAGTAAGCGGTATTTGCCTAAAAGATACCATTAAAATAGGAATCAACTATAACGTGTTTTTATCATCCTTACTATTTATAGCAGATAACGTGGTCCATCGGAATCCGCACGATAGTTACTGCCAAA